AGCCACAGCATCTCGAGCGGGTGGAGGGCCGGGCTCAACAAAGGGCTTTCAACCCGCATTTCCTGCACGGTGTGAATTCCCGTAAGAAAGGGGAGTTGGGGAAAATCAATGTTTTGCTGAATAAGCTTTTTTTTTTTCCAAGGGGTCTAAACAGGTGGGCTCTTTGAGGTCAGATTTACTGGGGGGAGATGCAGGAGGTGGCAGGCAGGCAGCTGTGATCCTGCCCACATCCCCCAGAGCCAGTCCCCATGCGAGCAGTGGGACTTCACGCAGGCGAGTCTTCCTGCGAGGGCTCCTTTGAAAGCCTATCCTGACACATGCCGTCCAAGGCACTAATCATCGATGTTTACTGTATAGCTCATATGTGCTGCACCTGGCAAGCAGCAAGGGAGCTGAAGGCAGCACGTGTTTTATATTTGAGTTGTTACTTAAAAAATCAAATTATTTGCATCAGTTTTTGACATTGTTTTTTTTCCCTTGGCTCTGCATGCCAGGGCTCACAGTGCGTGCAAAGATCTGTTTGCTACGTGTAAGCAATATTTTCCCTAGTGAAAAAAAAAAAGTGTAGACAAGTTAAACATAAAAGGTGTAAAAGATGATATGTCTTTTCGTTTGTAAGCCGCCATGGTGTTTCATACAGGCTTATGTCAAAGAGATTAACCCACTGGAGCTATACTGTAGATTTATAATTGCATACAAATGCGTGTGCTATTGCTTCATATATTAGCCTTTGTTAAGAAAAAAATCATTTTGATATATTTGTTTTAGCAGCATAAATATCCCTGGGGGCAGTGGGTATAATTAGAAAAGGGCATGGGGGGAGGCGGGGCTTGTAGAATAAAGCAGTGGCCTTAGGAGCACAGGTCCTAATTATAATTTATAATTAACCCCAGAATTTGCACAACCCATCCAAGCTAAACAAGGACTATCATTTTTTGCTGTTTAAATTGCAACCCTTTTTTTAATTTCACCACCTGCTTTGTTGATGTCGTTGTTTTCATGGCTTCAAACTTAAAAACAAGGGGGGATTAGGAAAGCGGCATTTAAAACTTTTCATGTGAAATATTTACAGTGGGAATTTGCTAGTTTAGAGCCAACACAGTGAATCTGCAGCAGAAGGAGTGATCTGAAACTTGTTTACTTATAATTAAAAATCTCCTTATTTATTTTTCTTGCCTTCTTTGCCCTTCTGCTTCCCTCTCTGCCCACAACTTCTGCCATACACCTCAGTAAACAGGAGCTATAGAGAATCAGAGGATATTATGTCTCCACACAGATGGAGACTTTTGTGGTGTTTGTTGACCTGAACTCATAGACCCAAACCCATTTTGTCCCTCGTGCAGCTGTATATACCATGTACATACAGAACTTTGTTTTCCACCCTTTTGCTATCCTCTCATTCCCCATCACTTGCTTCCGTGTAATAACGGCATGGTTGTGGGTTGCGCGTGAGAACATGCATTTCCTGCAGCTGCATTTTAGCTAGCCTTGCTGCAGAAAGGCTGCTCGCTGGAGGAGTCGGTGCTTCTGTCCATGAGATCAAATAGCAAATATCAAAGTTGAGCTGGAGACCTTTGCTGAAAACAAAATTGCCAAGAAGCATCAGAACAAGCTGGTGCGACTTGAGCTTCTCCTGGGGATTTTTTTTCAGCCCCATCAGCTATGTACTGGAATTGTCTAGAGCACAGAAGTGAATCTTAAATTATAGTGATGCTAAGCTATATACCCTTTGTGTTCTTGCAAAAGGGAAAATAAATATGTTCCCTCAAAAAGATTACATTTTCAAAGTATATTTGACTTGAATATTTAATTAGCTTTTGAAATTATCGAGCTAATAAATTAAGTGCAAGGCTTTGGGTAGTGTTTTTCCAGTTCTATGTATATCCTGCATTTGTCACTAATTAATGAGTTCCTAATGCTTCAGCTTCTGGGAAGATGAGCAACAAAGATTAACATAACTAGTAAATCTGAAGATGTGCAGCTGGGTTATAGTATTTGAAATTTGACAAAAACATTGGAAGTATTATTATTTGTGACATGGCTCAAGATGGGGGATTGTGAGGAAAGCAAAGATGACAGAACTGGTGCTAACCACTGTGACAACAACTTGAAAAGCAGCCGACATGACATCTTTCCTATCATGCTGCCGAAAATGTCAACTTTGTGAAGGACAGTGAGAAAATGGTTTGCCGAAAATTTGAAAGGTAGATTCAAGAGATGCTCATCATGTCAGATGCAATATAGTCCACAGCTGGGTGAGAAAGGGAGTCCTTGCCGTGGTGATGGCTCTTGGTTGGCAGGCCCTTCCAGACATCCGCGCTGCTCCAAAAATGGCTACAGCTGACCTGTAGATTGTCTCAAGTTTGCGATAGCATCATACACGAGAGCAGTGTGAGTTTATACTGCATGGTAGGCCCTGCATGGAGGGAGCGGTGGCTGGAGCCACTGGGTTGGATGCCCTCCTGGCTCACAGAGACCCTAAGAAAGGCGAAGACCTTGTAGGTTAATCCTAACCATGGTGGTTAGGTTGGCATGCTTTGAGGTGTTGAGACTTGGGTGACAGCCACATTGGCCAGAGGTTGCCTCTCCAGAGCCCGCCCTTTGTCTTCATGTGGGTCAGTGTTTTCAAGGCAATGCTTCCAGAGCCACCACTGCCCAGCCAGGATGCAATTGATTCTGTCACGTCAGCCTGTTTTGGGTGCCCACCATGAATTGTTATGTGGTGAGCACTAAGTAACCATTTCTGGCAAAACCAAAGCCCTTCAAGTTCAGTGAGAAACTGTGATTCATGTGAAAGGGCTGCGACCCAACCCAAGCTGTCAGATCCTGCCATTAAATCTGCTAGTTGAGGTTACTGACCCAGCAAAGGGTAACATAACTTTCAGACCATTTCCAGTCCATCAGCAAATCACTGCCAGGGCAGGCAGCTTCTCCTACCCCATTTGTCAGTGCTGATACAATTAACCTAGTGACACTCTGTGAGCTGTTATGAGTACAGGGGGAGAACCAAGTGCCAAAAGTCAAATGGGGGCTTCAACCCTGCTCCTTAATGTACGGCATTTATTGCAGTCTGCCTTGACTTACCTGCTTTTCTGCTTGGGAGCAGACCAGGCGCTGTGAGGTGCACAGCATCACAAAAGGCATGAACGTCTCTGCCTGAGTATTAAATATTTTATGGAACTTTGGAATAAAAATATATTAAGTATGTTCAGACATTAATTTTTGCTTGATAGCTAATTTGGTTTTCTTGTGGCTTGCTCATTTCTTCAAAATAACTAATCCTAATTAGGTACTAATGAGACCAGATCCATACTTCCAAAACTGTTTATGAAATGTGTTCCCCAGATGAGACATTTTATCCAAGTTTCAGCCTAAATCTTTTTTGCTTATTTTTTTCTTCAATACACAACTGAATTTGGCAAATAATCAAGTCAAGATTTCTGATGAAATGTTCTTTAAATTTAAATACATCCCCTGGTATTCGAGTCCTTTTCTGTGTCCATGTTGCAAGTTTTATTTAATGTATATTTAGCTTTAAAATTCTGCAGTAAATATCATGTACATTTTGCAAGTTCCTTTTCCAAAAGGTTTTAATGGTTTATTCACCTGTGTTGGAATACCAGAGTTTGTATTTATGATATTAAGCGCTAACTAAACGCAGGGTCAAGGAGAAGTGGTTGTACAGATTTTATAGCTTTTAATTTTTTTATAGCTTTTTTTTTTTTAATTCCCTTAAAGTTTAGGGCCTTTGATTCTTTAAGAGGAAAATAAAGCCAACCAATTAACCCCTGACAGGAGGTTCATTAGAAGCTTTGTAATCCCTTGCCAAGTCTTTTGTATAGCCAAACCAGTCTAGTACTGCGGATTTATGCAGCTTAAGCTGAACACTGGAGGAGGCCTTTAAGTAAGAACATTTGTTCAATTTTAAGACGTCTTACATTACCTAAAGAGTGCCTGTGCCAGCAGAGTTGCCCAAGGAGTACACAAATCCATAGACTTTGCTCGCCGGCAATGGGAAGCGGTGCGTTGATTGTCTGCCTGGCCGATTCCTTTGGTGCATGGATTAGACTCGCGCTCTCCTCTCGCCCGGAATTCTGCTGCACGGCGTGTTTTTCCATGTGGGTGTGGGGGAGAAGGAGGGGATTGCTGCTTTCAGCTCTTGGATGGGTTGGCATCAGCAGAGGTACAGGGTGGAAGAGCACAGGGACCACTGCATCATCCAGCCCTGGGAGAGAGCTTCAGCAGGGTTCACACTGTGCTCTGTGAACGATGGGAAATGCCCCAAGACAGCAGGACCTGGGTGTCTCACAATGCACCTCTGTGCACTCCTGAAATACAAGAGTGGCGTAAATAGTCTGAGAAAAGCTTTGATGAATCATATCAATGTGTTAATTTTCATAAATTGAAATCAAATGACCGAAAAGGCATTGCATTTTCAAAGACAAAATGCATGTCGCTCTCCAGGCGCATTGCAGCAGAATATATCGGAGATGGTTCACTTCAAGCAAATCACAATAGTGGGGTGATTCAGCAGTTATGGAGGAGTACAGAATTTTATATTCTGTTTGTATATACGCCTGTTGTCAATATTATTTTATACTGTGAATTGTGTTGAATTAGCAGCTGAATTTTTATGCAGAAATTCAGTCCCTATTTTGCCAGCAATGGGCTCGATCCTGCAGTGAGAGCATTGTCATATAGACGTATTTTGGGGGGATTCTGTGTTTTCTGACTTCTCTATCACAGCAAAAATAAGGGAGGGGGAAATCCACATCTAGATTATGCCTCTGAGAGAAGGCATTTCTTTATTTGTTTGGTTTTGATACCTCGGCACTGATGCTGCCGCAACCACCCGTGTCTTGGTGTGGCACATCCTCTGTCCCAGGTCTCATAGTTGGTGACATCCCTTTCCTAAAGGGCAGCGTGCCATGTGCTGCAGGGATGAGTTACCAGGGTGGCGAGGTGTGGAGTCTGAGTCATTCATGGCATTTCTCCTCCAGGCCCGATGGGATAGGAACTGTGACCGTAGACGAGAAAGAGCGTTTCGAAGAGATCAAGGAGCGGCTCCGTTTGCTTCTGGAGAATCAGATCACGCATTTTAGGTAAAGGCAGAGAGCCCAGGCTGAATGCGAGAGGACTGATTTCCTCCCAGCTCCCTCCTATAAGCAGCAAAGCCAAAAGGCAGGTTTTGAATGCATACGGGAATTTTGCATAAGTGGCACAGACCTACACAGGACAGTGAAGCTTGCACTGTAGCATGTTTGTAATGGAAAGTGGTTTTAAATATATAACCTTTAAAGGGTATTTCAAACCATCTTGTTTCTATAGGCATGGTAATGCTTGGATTTTTTCTAAGATGGAACAACAGCAAAAAAGATCCCTTAGCCTCTTATTTCTCTGTCTCTGCTCAGTTACTACCCGTTTATATTCCCTTCTCCCTAGTATTCAGACAGGCAGGGCTTTCTGCAGCGATGTCACTATATAGAAAGGGTGGATTTTGCCCACACAAGAAGGGGTGAATTGCCTCCAGCACACCAGCCAGGTCAGGTAGGTTGTGCACATTTGCACACAGATAGGTGATGTGCATTCACATGCAGAGTCCCTGCAGCAACCCTTTAGAGCTGCCGCTCACTGGGATGGTGCCTGGTTCAGCTGGTTACCTTATAGCCTCGTGCATCACTCTGGTCTCTGGCTGGAAGGAAATGCACCTTGCCAGAGGGGGTTTAGGTTGGGGCTTTTTTCACTTTTACAATAAGATGATATTTACCTCTCTCCTGGGAAATTTAAAACTCCCCAGGTGACACCCAGATTTAATAAACTGCTAAAACAATCAGCTTATTAATTATTATTACTGCTGCTTTAATGACCATTCCATCCAACTCTTTTGAAAAGTTACCCTGTAGAAAGACTATAGAATTGCTTGGGCATATTTAGGAAAGCATCTTTATAGCTCTGGAAAGGCTTATTTATATGCAATGATGTTAACATGATGTGGTTTTTCTAGGTACTGCTTTCCATTTGGCCGTCCAGAAGGTGCGCTAAAAGCTACTTTATCGCTGCTGGAAAGGGTAAGCATAAGAGTAAGAGAGTGGTTAAAATTGCCCATATTCGTGTGTATTTCCATCTAGAGCGTGAGGAACTGCTGGTTTTGCATAGGACATGTAATTAATGATAATTAATATTGAATAATAATATTTAATGTTGAAATGTGGGATTGTTCTCTCTCCTGCTTCAGCTCAGAGGCAGGTGTGTAGCCTGGCTATTAAAGGCATCACAGCCTGTGTCTGCTCGTAAGTAAGGATGGAGGATCTCACTAGCAAGCATCTATGCCACAGACCCTTGTAAGCGATGCCTGGCTGCTGTCTGGTGAAATTCCTATCTCAAGGCAGATTTGTTCTCTCCAGATGTATGAAAGCTGCTCACCGTCATCCTCCCCGTCCCTATTTCAGCCTTCCTGCTGCTTCAGCATCCTTCTTGCCTCTGCTAACACTCAGTTTGGCCAAGCCCAGGCTTAAAACAAAGTCAATAAGCAGAGCCAGAGGATGGCATAACATTGCCTGGTACTGGGAAAGTAATGCTAGATCTTAATGTCATGCCCTAAAAAAAATCAGAAGCACAGATTTCAGGGCATGCCAAAGGGTATAAGTATAGAAGGGGAATAACACAGCAGGGGTAAGTAAGTCTCACATCTTGAGCTGGCCAAGGTGACCTTGTAGTGGATCCTGCATATTGTACACATACCCCAAGAGCCACGCAGCACTTGAGCAGGA